GTGGGTGGGTGGGTGGGTGGGGGGTTTGGGGAAGCTCGAACCTTTAGACGCTTTTCGGAGCTCGCCATCCCAAAGCACCGGTAGTCGGCGCCGAGCGCTCGAGTTGAATTGCCTCTGGACTTCTCGAAATCAGACTCTTCGTCTAGGAAACCGAGATCCCGACTAAGACAGACTTGGTCTGGCCCCTTGGATTGCCCCTAAGCGTCTCATGAATCAATCTGTTCCCACAGTTTACAGTGCTTACCAGTGACCGCCGAAGATGATGATCGCCCATGGTTGGTCCTGGATCTTAAGCCGTGATATGTAAGAGGAACCTACCACGTATTGAAAGACAAAATTAGGAATGCACACCACGTCGCGGCATAGCATGGCGCATGGTGGGTAGACTTTAGATCCATATGAATACCACAACATAGCCCCGCATGGATGGTCAACTTGTAAGCAAAAGCAGTCCTAAACACAAAGATTGCCATTGTCATTATTGTTGTTGGAATTATGACTATTTGTTGCTTATTGCTATTTTACTGTCATTCTTGTTATTAGTTAGTCATTGGCATTTTCATTGCCGTTTTTATTATCATGCTATCACTATCACTGTTATTGTAGCAGTAGTAGTAGAAGGCGAAGCGTTGGTGGGTGACGCCTGTGTTTTCTTCATCTGAGTGTGTTATTTCTCCAGTTTCGAGCTGTTTTTGCTTGCTCCAGGGGGGTTGCCTTTTTTCTGTTTTGTCCCTGTTGTGAGTTGAAAACATACTGAACGGCTGAACGCTGTCATTTTTCGAGTCTTGGCCTGGTTTTGATGGATGTGGGGAAAGTTCATGGTTTTGGTGGATATTGCTTTTCTGCGTTTTGGAGCCTTCCAGTTTCTACGTTTTGGAGTTGGGCTCTGATATGGAAAACACTGGCGTCACCTACGAACCCTGTACCTAGTAGTAGTGGTGGTGGTAGTAGTAGTTGTAGTTGTTGTAGTAGTAGTAGTAGTAGTAGTCGTCGTGGTGGTGGTGGTAGTAGTAGTAGTAGTAGTCGTCGTCGTTGTGGTGGTGGTGGTTGTAGCATTGTTGTTATTGTTGTTCTTACTAAATTTTGATAATATCGTGTTTCGGATTATATGCCATGTGCCGGATATGAATATATTATGATTCTGACCGACAGCGGCATGTTTATAAGATCCATAGTCATAATTGACTCATAATGCATATTGCGAACTATGGAGTGTCCATTATTCTGCTACTCCCTCGGCTGCTGCTGCCACAACTGCGGCTGCTACTGGTCCTGTTGCTGCTACTCACTCAGCTACCGTTTCTGCTACGACGACGACGAGGACGACGGCATCAATCATTGTTGCTGCTGCTGTTGTAGATTGTAGATTCGATCTTCCTACAGTACCATTCGCATGACCAAGAGTGCTGCGCATTGCCATGGACTGTACGGCGAGTATAAGGAGAAGTCGTAGCACAGACTTCTCACCACCCGCCTCAAACCTTGAATGGCAGCTGTCCTGGATCATCGGGACCGCACAATCTCCCCAGCTATCTCCAGCCATGAGGGTCTGAAAGAACCTGCTGGTTTGGTCATGCGTGGTTAAGGTTGAATGTGAGCCTGTTCTGCTTGGCAGGCTCATAAGATGCTGTGTCGTGTGAGGGGCGAAGAATGCAATGAGTCCCGGTTGAATCTTCATTCGACTGGCAGCTCTGCTATGCCACGAATCGGAGCAGTATGACACTGCGGCACCTTGGAAGGCTCCTTCAATCTATCTCGGCGAGAGCAGAAGCCCTGGAAGCGCTTTAACAAGAAAAAAGGCCCCCCTTGCTAAACGGCAAACAGCGAACCAGACAGGTCGGCCAGTCCGCAGTTGGGGTCAAAAGCCGAAGATCGCGACAGACGTTGCTGCCGGGCCACATGAGCATGACGCTGTAGACGGAATCAAACGCCTGCAGATGCAGGAGGGGTCTCAAAGCCAAGATTTGCTTTTGGGTGGTTGTCGGGAGAGTCAGCAACCACCCCCCCTCCGTCCAACAGGAGGAAAGCATGAAATTCGAAGAAGCCGATACCAGGAGTTCCGATTTCTTGGCCCCGCACCGACAGGCACAGGTCGTTGTTGCCGTGTATTCTGTGTGCCGATCCGTGCCTCGGATGCTGCAAAAGGCTGGCAAGACAAGATGGTTTACTTCTGGTTTGGCTGCTTGTGTCATGGTCGTGTTTGCACATGCTGCTGATCGAGGGTCCATGGTGCTTCAGCGTGTGGGACTAAATCAACTCCTGTCTTCCACTTTGGACTCTGAGGGTGCATGGATACATAATGACTGTAAGATGTTCACCATTATCATCTTCATCCACAGCCAGACCCCTGTCCACAGCATTGCATGGTTTGCTTCCTTCCTCTTCGTCCGAAACACATATCCTGTTGCAAACTGAATATTCTGGCTAATGGATGGAGAACTATCCATGGAGGATGACTGTGGTTTCGCGCAACATGTTACAAGTGCATTGCCTCCACGTCTGTGGGTTGCAGCCGAGCATCTTAAGCCTCGTCTCTCTTGCTTCAAACCCTACAAGCAGGCGGGCCCCAGGCTCAAATCGAATGCTTCTGTATATCCAAGGGGCAGGAGCTCGACCGCAAGTACGGCCCAAACTGCCAGAAGCAGCATGACCATGATCAACCTGAGTTCTCATAGTTCTCGCAGGTTTGGGGTCTCCGTATTCCCTCCCCCCTCGAAGTCTGAAACCCTTATAATCTTCACTCGGTCGCCCAAACCCTGAGAAGGGTCGAAGGGCCCCCAGAACACGGTGGTCAGCGCGCTGATGATGCCGGTGATCATGGCATGGAGTTCGGGCGACATGTGGACAATCCTGGTTTTCGGGCTGCGGAGCTTCGAAGGCTTTTGGGTTCAAGAGACAACGCAGGGACTCTCGTGATTGTGTTTTGTGTGGTCATGCGGAAGCTACGAATGTTGAGGACTTCAGTTTCGGCTTGGAGTCGCGTGGCGACGATGATGATGAGCATGATGCTGATGATGATCGTGATGTTGCTGCAGATGGTGCTGGTGATGATGGATATGAAAAAAGGATGATGTTGGTGACGATGGTGATGATGACGGGGATGATGGTGATGGTACGTATGGTTCTGATGGAGAAGGAGTGATGACGACGATCATCACCATGATCTTAGTAGTGATGACGGCAGTGGCGACAACCATCATGATCGGGAATGCAATCACCGCACGTCATGGTCCGCATCTCGTCGTTATCATCATCATCGTCATCATTACCATCATCTTCGCCGCCATCAAAATCAGTAGCAGCAACCGCAACATCGAAATCACCCAAACCAAGATCAAGACAGATCTCTATGTGTCAAGCTCTAACTGTCTATTGAGGGTCCCACTGCAAGCGGAATACGTCGTGTTTCGGCTTGCAAGATAGGGGTTTAGGATAGTTCAGGGTTTAGGGTCATGATGCGTTGAGTTCTGACATGACGCACTTCCACAGGGTTCATTGGCTCTGCCCGGTGGTCCTGGCCGCTCGCGCAAGCCGCGCAATGCGAAAGAGACGCAAAAGCTGCACTTCTTGAAGCCCGGCCTCACATGGAACTTGAGGCTTTCGTTTGAGTCTAGAGTGTTTCTTAGTGGCCACAGCCTTGGTACTGCCGATCTTCTCTGCATCTTCTCTGCGACCACTTCCACACTACTACAACTGCTGACAGATAAGAAGCTTTCGCGATGTCTTTTCATTCCGAGGCGCCGTCGTCACAAGTGTGCTGACGATCACATCTACCCAGGCCACAATCACCTGAGCTCCCCCGGTGTGACCATCTGCGGCACAAGGCTCGATTCCAAGGACAAGAGTCTGCGACGCCCAACGAACCATACATAATCATACATACTGATTTTGAGGCAAGGCATCGAGGGCCTTTGGGAATCAATGCTGGAAGAGACTAAGGACCTGGGGTCGATCAGAAACCTTCCCCGAAAGTCAGTCAAGCCGCAATAATGATGTCGAATATCATCCACCAGTCTCGACACATTCGTCGTCGGTAGACGAAGAGCATGATCTCGGTGGCATGCAACATCGCTTCTCAAGGTCACACATGCTGTGCATCAGTTACCACAGTAACATGCAGCGGAAACTCGCCCGTTCATTCGTCACGACACTACAAAGGCAGGGCAAACTCATTCCGAGTCTTGCGCGAGGTGCAGAAGATCGAAGGATGAGAAACGAGGCGCGTTTCAAAACAACGTTCCTAAAGACGGAATTCTGGATCCCTGGTGCAATGTCTCAGATATATCCTTCAGTCAGGAACCCAGTGCAAACTCACTGCAACCCGGTTGAGTCGGTTAGTATGCATCGAGCAGCGAAGCTTTCGACTGTGTAGAACCCAACGAAGATGTAGTTGAAGATGCTCAGCCACATTGGCATGCAACCTGGGATCTTCATAAACCAATGAACGGGCAGTTCTTCCTATCTGATGCGCTTGCCGGCTCATGCTCCGCTTTCGAGACGGAGTGCTCGTATCCTTCAGCATCTGTCGCGGATCTGCATGCTTCTCCCCTGTCTGCCTTCTGCATGTTGAGACTGCACGACTCAAAACATAAAGATTGCCAGCTAGTCGCCAATCACATTCTCGCCGCATGCGACGCCGGCATTAGCTTCAAAGACGATGATGACAAAGTTGAGGCAAATTACGAAACTGACCAACATCTCCTTGGTGGGAGACACGAGGGTTTCGTTAGATCCTGTGCGGCATACGCCGTAGGAAACCCAAGTCAACATGAAGTCTTAAAACTTCCGAAGCCTGGGCCTCCGCAGCTGAAAGGCCCGTGGTCAGGATTTCGGTCGAAGGCTTTGGGTCAGCGGCTTCATGGGGAGATTGGGCGGTTCGTCCAGATTGTCGCCGGAGCTTGGTGGGCAGAGGGGTGCCACAGCGCCCCTTCACAGGAGAAGGACCTACGTGTGTCGGAGAGTTTGTGTTCGAGCAGAACAGCTCGGATGGACCAAGGTAGGGTGAAGCCCCTAACAGCAAAGAAATTTGCAAGATCCAAAAGCTTCCTTCATCGCCAAAATTCCCATGGACCAGAGATCACCAGGCTGTAGAATCGCCTCGGTGGACAGTCTGGACAGCTTCTTGACATGGCATAACCCTCGACTGCCATTGAAACCTTGCGAAAACTGACAGGCACTACGAACAGGCAATTCGGGCAAGCATGGCAACAGAAGAAAGAAAAAGCAGCTATGGTGTCGCCAGCAACAATGGCAATACGACCGGCAAATAATTAGAGCATGTCACGATCACAACAAGGTGAGGCATCATGATGAGACTATAACGAACACCAGTCCACCACCATCATGACAACCCTCAGCAGGAAAAAGGGTGAAGAGGGTCGGATCAGAGGAACGTTCTGCGTCAAACCCTCAGCCGCGCCACCATCGGTAGCGGGAGAAGTCCTGCAAGTCCTGGCATGGTCGGATCAAGCTACACGAACCTCCAAACTACATAAACTACATAAACCCCTATACCCTAAACCCTAAACCCTATATGCTCAGCCAGCCGGTGGCCCTGGCTTCACGCGAACCTTCTTATCATCTCCGACGAAGCACTGGCCAAAAATCTCCCGAGCGCCTACCCAAGCGCTTACCACACACAACGCTCCTTGGAGTTGAACTTCTTGTCCTTCAGCGCTTTTTTGTGCGTTTGAGCGAAGCCTGGCGTGGTTGAAGTTGGAGCTTTGTGCCGGGAAGTGACGAGGAGCTCTCGCGTCTCTCCGTGCCCAGTTAGCACGGGATCGAAGGTATGAAGTAGGCATGTGATTTGCGCATGACGGATTTCCCGAACAAGTAACATATGTAAACAAAACGGTACTAGGATGCCAGAAAGCCATTGAATTTCTACCGATGGTAACCACAGAAGTGTGCACCATGGAACCCCCCCTCTGGAGTCGGAGGTCATGTATGTATGCATACATGCAGTTTCTTGTGTGCCGACTGAAAGATAGGATGTACATCTATATGCAGACTGTCTACGCCCCTCTTCCACCGTATGTATGCAGGCATGGTCTGTGTAGCATATGTACGTACATGAGACGACTCGAGCATGCTCAGAAATCGAGCTCGCGCTTTGACACACACACACACACCTATGCCCCGAATCCCCGAAGACTCCAGCCCCCCAAACCCAAACATCCGTATCTGAAGCCAGTCATGCTGGCCTTGGGCTGATGTAGGCATGGTTTCGTGGAGCCTCAGAGTACAAAGCAGGAGATCAGATCGGGGCTGGAGGCCTCATGATGCCTTTGGGGGCCAGGGTACTTCGATCACAGCTTCAGTTTTGGGAATGCGCCTGCGCCATCGGCTAAAGCCTGACGGAAGCTTGCGGGCGCCGGAAAAGACTGGAGCTCTTAAAAAAGGTCCAGGCCCTGGACTCCAAAACCTGAAAGCCCGAAGGGCTCGGAAGGACCCCAAGGGCCGAGTGACGATGAGGCGATGGACGACTTCGAGTTGGCCATGCCACCCAGGAAGGTGGTCTGCCTTTGGGCTTGGCTTTGCTTACTTACACTATCTTGTGCCTTCGTGCTGATTTTAGGTTCCCTTCCGCCATGGCTGCGGGACCTTTAACTGTCCAGGGCCGTTCAGGGCTTCGGGGCCACGTGCCGACCTCGTCTGTCCTGCTTCAAGAGGGTCGGTGAGTCGTGGTTGCCTGTGTTGTAAACATGAGCGCTTGCCGCGAGCTCGTGCTCTTTGCATGTCGGCGCTTGACTCAGGAGTGTCTCAACTGAAGATCCGCCGAAAGACAGTACAACTCTTTTCGTTTTTTCTCAGCAGGGTTGAGCTGCTTTGATTGACTTCATGTCTGTTTCCGTGCACATACATTCCAAAGTCTTCGGAAAAGTGAGTCATCTTGGGTTTGCCGTGCAAATCTGCAGGGAAGTTACACATATTACGTGTCTATGCTGGTGCCAGCGACCTACCGCGCAAACTGCAGCTTGCAGCACCGGTGAGTTTGGTGATTACCTAGGGGACCTTTAGCAGAGCCAAACGGAGCCTCCTGATTTCTAGAGCTCAAGACCTATTCTAAGCATTGAGGCTTGAACTCCCGCCAACTTTCAGCGAGCCACACCATCGCCAGCTGTCACCAGGGCCGATGGCACGGCACAAAGATCGAAGGTTAGAATCTAGAACGAGAGGAAAGGAGAACAAAAAAAAGCAAGTGCTGATCTCAGACTCTGTTGCCCCGAAAGTCATGTCAGACCTTTCGATACGAACTTCATCGAGACCCTTAGTCGAGGAGTCGCTGCAAAAGGGCGACCCGCAAGTGTTGCTGGCTTCTGCGCAGGCACAGGAAACCGGAAACCCAGACCCAGAGCTCTCCAAGCACAATGACAAGCAGTAAAAGTCGGCGAAGAAGCCTATGCTGACCGAAATCGCAAGATGGGGCTGCGAAATCCAAAGCTGAGAGCCATGAAGCTGGCAAAGTTTTCTACACAACTTCTCCACTCATCCAGCCAGCATTGCTAGATCCTAGGTACGATGCGTGACTGAAACAAAATATCTGGAGGACTGCAATAGTTGGTCGGTGGACCATCAATGCTCAAGCACCTGCGCTTGGATCCTGCAAAAGCACAAAGGCGAACTAAATGTATGTCACTGCACACTACAGTGCATCTGCTCTACACGGCATCGAAGCGACTTGGTACAGCACGTCCCCGCGGTGGTGGAGATTCCGACCTCCTCCTGTCGCGAAGCGCATCATGAAAGGTGCGGCAAGGGGCCCATGAATTGACCCCATGCCTGTGCGCTCGGAACATGGGATGAGATTCTCAGCAATAAGATGTCTGTGGCTCAGTGAGGTGGATAAC